CTCTTGTTTCTTAACCCAGAAAGGCAACTACCTTCAATCTGTCGTTTTTAATATGTCAACTATTTCTCTTTGCCTATGGATAATAGATTCAGGTGCCATGGACCACATAACAGATTGTTCTAAATTGTTTTCTTCTTATAGTTGTGCAGATAATCAAAAAATAAAAATTGCCGATGGCTCACTCTCAGCAATTGTTAGGAAATGGTAAATTATTATCTCTAACACTCTTGTTCTTCACAATGTTCTTCACGTTCCAAATCTTTCTTGTAATCTTTTGTTTGTCAGTAAAATAACTCGGAACTTAAGATGTGCTAAATTTTTTCCAAACTATTGTAAATTTCAGGATCAGGATACGAGGATGATGATTGGCAATGCTAGGAAACATGAAGGTCTCTATTACTTTGATGATGAAAATTCGTTGGGTTAGCAACCAAAATCCTCAAATCTTGGAGTATGCTTTAATTCTACTAGTGATGAAATAATGGTATTGCACTATAGGTTTGGTCATCCTAGTTTTCAATATTTAAAATATTTATTTTCAAACTTGTTTCATAGTAAAGATTTAACATTATTGCAACGTAAAATTTGCCACTTAGCTAAACACCATCGTATATCATTCCCTACTCAACCATATAAACCATCTATGCATTTTTCTCTTATTCATAATGATGTGTGGGGACCCTCTAGAGCATTAACCAACTCTGGAAAAGAATGGTTTATAACATTTATTGATGATCATACACGTCTAAGTTAGGTTTATTCACTTAAAGAAAAATTTGAAGCAAAATATATTTTTAAAAAGTTTTATACATGGTTGAAACCCAATTTTAAACAAAAATTCAAGTGTTTCGGAGTGATAATGGAAAGTAATATTTCAATGAAAATTTAGGGTCGGTTTTCTTAGAAAAAGAAATTGTTCATCACAGCTCTTGCAATAATACTTCTCAACAAAATGGGGTAGTAGAAAGAAAAAATAAGCAAATTCTAGAAGTAGCTAGGTCTTTAATATTTACCAATAATGTACCTAAATACTTATGGGGGGAAGCAATTCTTACTGTTACATATCTAATTAACAGGATGCCATCAAGAGTTTTGAACTTTCAGACACCTTTAACAGTTTTCAAAAAATCATTCCCAATGTCTCGATTGACTTCAGATTTACCATTAAGGGTTTTTGTATGTGTTGCATTCGTTCATACACATAATCGTAACAGAGATAAATTAGATTCACGAGCAATAAAATGTGCTTTTCTAGGGTATTCTCCCACACAAAAAAGGTATAAATGTCTTGATCCTATCAGAAAAAAATATTTTGTCACGATGGATGTTACATTCCTTGAATCATAAAGCTTTTTTAGTCTTCATCTCCAAGGAGAGAAAGAAAATGAAGACTCGGTGTTTGAAAAAGAAAATATTTCTGATAGTTACAAAAGTAATGAAACTGCAATATTTAATTTTGATATTTTGGATAAGGAAAACATGAGACCAACCTTAGTGCCTGAACACAAAAAAGACACTAGCGAAATGGATTATACATGCTTCGATGATGAGAGGTTGTTCGGAAAAACTTACACTAAAAGAAATTCGATTCAAAGTAAGAAAGATGCAACTATGTCTCCTCAAAATCAAGAATTTAATCCGATATCAGGATATGAAGAATCAGGTACAATCTCTAAATCTTTAGAACCTAAGTTTTTTCCTAT